ATTAGCTTCGATGTTTTATAGCGAAGATGAATTTATTAATTTCTTATTCAATTTCGTCACGGCTTTGCTTTACTTTTGCACTAATGTAATTTAAGTTATTGAAGCGAAAAATATGTAAGCAACGTATTTTAATCACATCCTCTTCTGAAGTTGACGATGTCTAATATGACAGATCAATATTTTGGATTTTTATTTAACCTTCACTAGGCTAATTGACTTCATTATTAGGTGTTAGCTATACTCAGAAAAACGTTTTTTTTTTTTTTCTCTTAATAACAATTTCGTAAACTTTTTTAATAAACAGTTTTTCTGACAAGTTCGTAAATTGTCACGGGTCAAGTGAAAACTTTTATCGAACAGACATAATGCAAATTGTGGATACGAAAAAAACTTTTAAAATTAAACTTGTTGTTGTTTTTGTTTGTAAAATTGTAATTTTAATGGGGAATCGGTAAACTTTTCAGAAACAAAGTAACATGTGTATACTGTGTACTGTCAAAAAAATCTTTAAATTATACATACAAACAGAGTGAACTATTTGAAAACGCTGTAGGCATATGACAATTTTATTTTTCTAATTATGTTATTTATGTTGTACTTATTATAATTCGCATCCACATTTTTTTATTTTATTTGCATTGACTTACAATTGTATAGACGTTGGGTCCGCGCTAAAAAGTGTCCGAACTTATAGGGCGTTAAAATCGTATACAGAGCGTCATTCACGCTTTAGTCTTCGTTTGTTCGACTGACAGCGAAGCAAGCAAAATTAGACAGTACTGCGATGACATTACAATTTAAATTCAACGTTTTAGCTTTTTCATATTCCTTTACATGTCACTAAGTTTAAATAGGTTGACTTGAGACGTTTTTTTCGTGGTTTTTGTATTAGACCCGTCGTCCATTTATTTGTAAGTCAATGCTACATTATTATAATTTAATTACAATTCAGTTACGTGTATTACGTATCAAAATTTTTATTTTATAAGATTGTAACGTTTGTTGTAATTTAAATAAACCTTTATTATTATCGTTAAGTACATTTGAACTCGCGTTTGAAATTGAAATTACAAAGTCCATAACAAAGCTACTTTCCAAACATACTACATTTAAGTTAAACTATAGCTAGGTACATTAAAGAGGTAAAGCAATCCACGTTCAAATGTTTGTTGATACATTGTAGAGAAAATTAATCAAGTAAGTCAAGTTTTATAACTAAGTACAATTTAGGCGTATCCAATGCATCATTTGTAATCAATAGGTAGAGTAACACTCCTTGTGAAAGACGTCCAGGGAAGTATTGTCACGTTACTTATTTCAGCCGTCAAGTGGTAATGGGAGCTTTATTACGTTCCGGTTTAGAAAGCTGCTGGTGAAATTATAGACACATGGAACTTGTCAACTTATGTCACAACAGCTATAGACAGGCGTGTTGCTTACCACCAGACGCACTTGTTCGTTCCGTCACTTATAATCATATTTTTTTATTATGATAGTGACAGAATGAATAAGTCGTGCGTCTGGTGGAAAGCGACCAGTCTGACCATAAGAATTGCAGTGCCACTCAGAGCTTTAAATCGCATAGATCTGAGGGGCACTACCACTGCGCTCGGCACTCTAAGACATAAGATAAAAAGTCCCATGTGCCTGTAATGTCACTAGCACCCATATATAATACTCACATTACTGCCTGGCGGCAGAAATAGTGTATACAGTTGTATGTGCTATTATGAATGTAGCATCGAAACAGCAAAATCTGTTAAATAAGAAGAATGACGATAATCAGTTTGTTTTGCTTCATATACTGAATATGCATTAATAATAATAACGCTCACACTCAACATAGCCCCGCACTAGGGAAACCCTGTGTCGCGGGTGCCATGGACACACACATAGACAACCATAAATTACACCCAAACTCACGAGAGAAATAAATGTAGGCCATACAAATATTTCTCCCGGCCCGAGAATCGAACCTGGGACCTCTGCGTGGCAGTCCGGCATGGTAACCGTTCGGCCACGGAGGCATTACAAATTGGCTTCATATAAAAATGATGTCAAGTTACAAATATGGCTTACTGATTTTCTTACAATCTACAGTTAACAAAGTACAATATTTCAGCTGCAAAATCTGAAGTTAAACTTATAATAACTAGAAGTTTGCCCGCTCCCCTGGACAAACACAATGTATGGAAAGTACAATTACGTAACCATCTCATTACTGAGCGTAGGTCTTCTCAGAGATAATGCTATACAAGTATATGTATATTAGTAGATATATTTTAGATAGATTTTTTAATAGCAGTACAGCTTCTTGTGAAAGAGCTCATCCAGGGTAGTACTGCCACTTTATTTCTGCCACCAAGCAGTAACGTCAGCACTACTGTGTTCCGGTTTTGAAGGGTAAGGGTGCTGGTGAAATTACAGGCACATGGGACTTGTTAACTTATGTCTCAGGTTGAGGGGCGCGATGGCAGTGCCACTCAGATCTTTGCGATTTGAAGCTCTGTGTAAGATGGCAGTACTTCCCTGGACGAACTCTTCCACAAGGAGCTCTACTGTTACTTAATTTGTACAACTATGTGGTATTTAAAGTTGAATTCAACAGAAACTATGTAATACTTTGCACGCATAACACACAGAAAAGGATATAAAATGACTGTAGTAAGGCAAAACGTTCACTTGGGGTCGCTTGAGCGTAATTTCAGCCGCAGTTACCACATTGCCCCTTGGGGAACTAGTGTTATTATACCCCTATGTACGTTAATGAAAATATGGTGTTAGTCAACCTTTGCTGTCTGTTTATAATAGTACCTAGTTGGCTTGTGTTTTAATGGTGTGTAATGTCCTTGGGTTTGATTAACAGTATGTACAATTTACGTAGTGCCGCTGGTATCCACAGTTTTTGGTTCACTAGTTGGAAACCAGTTCATTATCCTAGTTGTCTGGCACGTTAATAATATTGTTATGATCTATTTTAACCGACGTCAAAAGAAGGAGGTTCTCAATTCGTATGTGTGTTTCGCAATTACTTGTGAACCGATTTTCATGATTCTTCTTTTTTTTCGGAAAGAGGGTATCTCAATATTGGTCCCATTTAAATTTGAAATAATATTCCACCTCTAAGGATGGCAAACTAGGCGATGAATCCGGTTTCGCGCACTTTCCGATAGCCGATTTCAGTAAAACTTGGTAAATAGATGTAATTCTACGAACTTTCGAGGTCGGTTTTTTCATTTCCTATGTGTAGCAAACACTAAAGCTGCTAACAGATTGATTAACCGACATAGCAACCGAGATCGACTGCATGCAGTCAATTAACTGCATATATGAAATGTTAGCAGCCTAAAACCGAAGAGCGAATCTTTTTTCTTCTTTTTTATGATACCAAGTCACAGAGCGAACTCGAGCGCCTGATGTTAAGCGACAAGCGTGTCCACAGCAGTTGCAGTGACAAAGATTTGAGGGACACTGCCACTGCGCCTGTCACCCTGAGACATACGTTGACATGTCCCTTGTGCCTATAATTTCACCAGAATTGCCCTTCAAAACAGAAAGACAGTAATTCTCACATTACTGCTTGGCGGCAGAAATATGTAAGGTGACAGTACTTCCCTGGACGAACTCTTCCACACGGAGCTCTCCAGCTACTACAGTCGAAGTTGAGACGCCTGCCTTTCAAGTAAGAGAATGCAATTTCGAGTCTTGTACGGACCTCTGCTATTAAATATTTTTAAACCACCTGCATTTTTTAACTCACAGACTCGACAGGAAATTGTATTTGTAAATCCTTCTTATTATATGAACAACAACAGGGAACCAACTTTACCCGTAATAAAATTTCCTAGAATGCCCATAAAATATGAATTGTGTTGTAACGTTTAGGAGAATGTTACTTAACAAGACATCATTAGGTATTAAGTAAACACAAAGTTAATCATCTGATGGACTTCGAGACGCTTGCGAACTCGAACATTTAAACGATTTGTAAATATTTAACTTAGAAGTTTTGTTTACTATTTTATTTTTCATTATCGTGATAGTCAATCCAATATACGTCCTATACTGCTACTACTTTGCTGACTCAGCGACCCAAAATGTGACCCAATCTCTCGTCAATTGAGGGTTTGTAGTTCGCGCAGGTCCCTGAGACGACCAACCGGTCTTCGTCCAGTAGGTCGACCCAGATAGGTTCTCTTTACGTTCCAATCCTCATCCTTTCTAAATAGACGAGCCAGCGAAGTCTGTACGCTTTGGTCTCGCCAATGATGTTTGGCTGAACGACGAGCTCTTCCATTTCAGCGTTAGTGCGAACTCTCCAGCTACCGTTCGTAAGGACGGCCCATATGACGGTCTTGTAGATTCAAATTTTGGCTTGAGGGCTCAGAAGTCTGGACACCAACACTTTGTGCACTACATCGTAGGGTGTTCTGGATGCGGATGTCTATATCCTCTTCCCTAGGGTTGGTATCTGTTATAGTGCGTATATACGTTCAAGGATTATAATAATTTGGCCTGCAATGAAATAATCCCAATTGTTTTGTCCGCACGTGAGTTAATTCCTGTCAGCGTCGTCGTGTGTGTCGCTTCAATACTTCATAACTAATCTTCTAGGCCTTGCCAGAGGCGAGAGTCTAAAATAATAAAAATGTTATATAAATAAAACACAGATTTTTGCAATTTAAAGCTCTGAGCGGTATTGCAACAGTTGTAGACAGGCGTGTCGCTTACCACCAAACGCACGACTGTTCGTCCCGTTACTTAATCTGATAAAAAAAGTGTATTGTTTCATACAATACTGATAAAATAAAGGCGTTACATGGGTAATTTTAGATTCAGGTGTTACTTTGCGGAAGTCCATGTATTAGGTAACATGTATTTACTTCCATTTTTATTTAAAAAATGAATATTAATAAATATCTATATGTATAAATTCATTAGAAGTCCTAACACTCGCCTTAAAGTTCATTGTTAAAAATATCTTTTATCTTTTGTTTTAGTGTCCAAAGAAGAAGTTAAAGAAGTGGAAAGTGCTAACGGGAACCCGAAATCGACGAGATACACTACAGTGTCAAGGTAAGATAGAACAAATTACATTTCCTATTTACTTCTTAACACTTTATGACTCTTCTTATCATCCCCTGTTACTTGATTAACAATTGTAACAGTTTAATATTGATCAAATCAAAGTTGAATAAATATAGTTTTTTTTTTCAATTGGTTACAAAATTTAAAATAGGGGCTATTCTTCACACACTCACCCTGGGAGCATACAGAATTGCGCGCAGGAAAACAAGCACGCGCAGTCGTGCGCTATTTTCTGTTTGACGTTTTTAAATTATTTTCTTTTTGCGAGCTATTGCTCGTATTCATTTTTATTACAACAGAAAAGTGTACAAGGCAATGATGAGCGAAATCACGCGATCTCTCCCTTTTCCTACTAACGTCTTTACACGCCCGCTCGATCGCGCACGTTTACTGTATCACGTGCAATATAGTGTCTGTGTAAAGCCCGCTAATAAAGGAAAATCAATCTCCAACCACTCGAGAAACTAGAAGTAGAAAATAAAACAAATAAATGAGAAAAAACAACAGTCGACTAATTTTTTCTTTTCAAATTACACCTAAAATAAATGAAGTAAAATAACGATCGGACTTGTGAAAACACGTTTCGTTATTTTGTGAATTTTAATTAAGGTTAATAAAATAATAATTACATCTTTTATTCTCAAAGAGCATAGGTCCATAGTTTGTAAGTGCTTACTAACCATACTATATTAGTAACAACTGAGTGTGGTGAACTATGTGAAGTGTACATTAAAATTTTTCAAAATCAAGACATCAAAATATTCAAAATACATAATATGAAATTCTCTGAAATAATAATCATTTAGTCAAAAGTAAAAATTTTAATTAACTAAAATTTACAATTAATAAAATAAAAAATTAAATTAGCAAATAAAATAATATTAATTTAGTGGAAAACAATTAAAATTTAAAAAATTACATGTCATAGGGAAATCCATTACATTACTATTATGTTAATAATCAATAGTCATTCGTAAAATACCTAAGTAACACATTTTCAAAAACGGTTTTTTTCTGGTGTGACAATATTGGTGTCTGGACGTGGTCCGTACTTAAGCGTCATAAGCAGGAGCTGCGTGTCACAGAAATGAAGATGCTGCGCTGGATGTGTGGAGTTTCACGGAAAGACCATGCCAGAAACTCCCGCATCCGCGGCGGCCTTCACGTCCGTGACATTGCAGATAAACTGCAAGAAAGCCGCCTACGTTGGTACGGTCACATCTTACGGAAACCGGCATGCTACGTGGAAAACAAATATCTGGCTATGCCACCTTCGCCGTGCCCCGGTAGAAGGGGCAGAACCAAGAAGTGCTGGCTTGACGTCGCCAAGGGTGATATGCGTGCCAATGGTCTCACCACTAAGGATGCCGAAGACCGTGCAAAGTGGAGGAGAAAAAGCAGGAAAGCGGACCCCGGGCGCCGCAACAACACTGCTGAGGACGCAACCGGGACAACGCTCAGATGGGAGAGAGAGAGAGAGATAGACAATATTGGTTTCTATTTAAGGGAGCACCAAGTATGTGGAAATAAGTAGCTATACACCTAAAACATTGCTTTTATGACTGTCACACTGTTATTTACCTAGCAGCCTATTTACATAGAACATATATTTACATAATTACGCAAATCTATACATTTTTTAGGTTCTTCGTCTTCAATTTGTAAAGTTATGAATGAAATATACACACTTCAAACGCGTCTAGGGCTAACGCACGTTTTTGCCAATTTCTGAAAATTAGCTTTTTTAATTGGTTTTTTTTTAACATCAAAGGATTTCTTTTGGTAAATTTTATTACATGAATTTGAAAATGAAATTGACCAAAAATACCTTATTGGTGTTATAAAAAATATATAAAATAACCTATTAGCAAAAACGTGTTTGATCTCTAGAGACTTTTGATGTGTGTACTATTTATTGATTTGAAATAATTATGTTCCCTTTTTGTCTTTGAATAAAAACAAAAACTCGAAACTTACTACTTTTTCTTAATGGTACGGAAATTTCAATTTTTCTTTATCCGGACTGACACCGGTTAATCGTTTAAGCAAATAAATTAAAAGTTACAAACGAAAGAAATAAAAAACAATAATAATAAATACCAATAAAAAAATAATAATTATTATAAAAATTACACTAATGTGACTCGTTTGTAACACTATCATTAACTAAATTCTAGCTATTTATAATAATACTACAAAAATAACAATAAATAAAAATAAAAATGTGGTTCGGTATCGATACGTTACACATTTAGAACCAATTAGAAAATATACCAACAACGAAACCAATTAGAAAATAACATAGATAACACGGAAAAGGAAATCGTGTCACATAGTGATATTTATAATTGAATTTAATCAATACATAAGCTAAAATATATTTACTATAATTTAGCCCAAAACAAACTTATACCGGGTTCACAGCATAAGGTCTGACCCGTGTCACGGGTGACAGGCACCATGAAATTAGTTCCATATTAATTTCCTTTGCTACCGAAATCAAAACCATGAGGTTTGGAACCTAGTGGAAACGGGTGTTGGGTTTCATATAGCAATACCTTAGTGTACATATATATTTAATAAAACAATAATCATGTACCAGACACCACACTAATTGCCTGCACTCAAATTAGGAAATTCTCTGAGTTATACATATAAATACAACCGTAGCATTAAAGCTCCTTGTGAAAGATTTCGTCCAGACGGTATTGTCACTTTAACTATTTTTACCACCAAACTGTAATCAATCAGTCAAATCGTTTATTTGCATAAAACATGGTGGTCATGATAACACAGTAATATACATATAAGTACAAGCATGTTTCGCCCGAAGATAATTTAGGCATGCAAAATAAATGAAAAATAGGTCGTCACATGGTTACATTTACATTATGTTCTATATAATTAATTTAAATCAAATTCTTTTACATAAAATTTATTGTAGAAATTCCCTAATACTGTAATATACTTTATTCTTTAACAATTCATATAATTTAGTCTTAAATAATGTAATGGGCAAGTGTTTAATGTCATTTGGTAATCTATTGTAAATTCTGACACACATACACAAACAATTTTGATTATATTTTTCTACCTTAGGTACGTCAAAAAAAATTAGTCTTGGGATTTCTATACTTTCGATGGTTCACGTCAATACTCTTAATAAACAAATGTAAATTATTTTTCACAAAAATGCTGGCTTCATAAATATATAAGGCAGGCAGGGATAAGAAACCAAGATCTTTAAATATAGGTTTACAGGATTCAAGCGGAGTCCTACCAGTAATTGCACGTATACATTTTTTTTTGTGCAAATAACACTTTGTTTATATTCGTACCATTTCTTTTTGTGAGCGTTACTTTTTGTGAGTTTAATGTGAGCATTACTGCATTCCAGTCTTGAAGGGTAAGAATGAAATGTAATGAAATTAAATTAAATTAAATATTTATTCGCAAGCAAACACGGTAACAAAAGATATTATTATACAAGGTATCAAGAACACGTGTTGAACCAGATACTAGCACGCAAATATTAAAATAAATTGAAGTTAAATATAAATATAAATTAAAATTATATAATTTGTCAAATAAGCAATGTCTAATAAAATTACGTAAAAATGCCAATAAATAGCAACAGCAATAAAATCGTAAATTAAACAATATCAATTAAGTAAGAACAGCACTAGTATAAACAAAATGTCAATTTCTTTTTATTATTAAAAAATCTTTGAACACAGATCACATAGCAAATCAAATAACTTTTTTTAAATATTTTTATAGGTAAATCTGCGACAGCTGCAGGCAAAGCATTATATATTTGTATGGACACGTTATAGCAATTCCTATCTGCTGATGATGATACTTCCTTATTATTTAAAGTTAAAAGGCACCAATGTTGCTACGACGATGTGAACAATGCTATATCAAAAGTAGTTGATTGGTTTGCTGTTAATAACCTACTTCTTAATGAGAAAAAAACAAATTGTGTGAAATTTACATTACCCAATGTTAGAGAGACGGTTACAAACATTGTAGTTAGAAACGAAAAATTTAATCTTGTGGATACAGTTGTATTTCTAGGTATAACATTAGATGCTAAATTGCAATGGGGTCCCCATATAAGTAAGTTATCAAAACGGCTCGGCTCTGCAGTGTACGCGATTAAAAAATAAGGAAACTTTCAGACGTCGAAACCGCTAGATTGGTTTACTTCAGCTACTCTCACAGTCTAATAACATACGGCATTTTGCTTTGGGGTAATGCCGCCGGTATCAATAGAATCTTTGTCCTGCAGAAACGTGCAGTTAGGGCAATTTACAAACTGGGCCCCAAAGTATCTTTGAGAGATAAATTTAAGGAAATTAACATTCTTACACTAGCCTCACAGTACATTTATGAAAATGTAATTTATGTTAAAAGGAATAGTAATTTCTTTATGAAAAATAGTGACAGACATAACATTAATACGAGGAATAAAAATAAAGTAGCTTTTCTTGATAGTCGTCTTCACAAAGTCAAAAAATCATTTAAGGGGCAATGTATACGCTTCTATAACAAGATTCCGGTTGATATACAAAATTTGCCTTTCACGAGGTTTAAAACTATAGTGAAACAAAAACTTTATACTAAAGGTTATTATACAATTTCTGCGTACTTGGATGACAAAAATCCGTGGTAGTAACCCGTTAAGCTCATGGAGGTAGTCTCGATCTCTGATGTTTCAAATAAAAAAAAACATTGTAAATGTTATTTACAAAGGGCAACCCGTAGAGTTTCTTGCTCATTCTTCTCAGGGGAATCTGCCTTACGAATGAGCGGTAGAGTTTAACCATTGTAACGATTTCAAGTGTAATAATGCTTACCTATGAAATAAAGATTATTTTGAATTTTGAATTTGAATTTTATAAAAGCAAGCAGTCTTAGCTTTGCACATACTGAATCAACTTGTGGTTTCCATGTCAGTTGAAAGTCCAATACTAGGCAGAGAA